AGAGGAGGTGATGGTCTTTTCAAACCTTTTTAAGGACCTCATTTAAGGCAGTCAAAAGATTGAATCAAAAGATGTTGTACAGCGATTAAATGAGAGAGGCCATAAAGACATCATACAAAAATACACTAAGCAGAAAGTTACTGACAAGATCAGAGGTCTTTGTGCAACTCACATAAGGCAGTGGAGAGAGTAAAGGAAAGCACTTGGCTCCACTGCCTGATTTTATGGAGGACGATCCGAAAAAAATAAATTAATATTAAGAAAAACTGTTCTTTTAAGTATTATCAATAGTGGAAAAAGGATGGAAACACTAAGGTACAATGAAAAATGTTCTGGTAAATGGTTAACTTAGCAAATGAAGTACCGCAGAGTAACAGAGGGGACATGCATTATTTTTGACATTGACTTGTGCCATTACTGAAAGGACTTGAACAATATACAGATTATGAACCTCATAAATGATGAGCCAGCCGTTTGTGCTATGCCCTATGTATAGATGTGGTTTTTTTTGGAGACCTTTTCAAACCTAACTGATCCAAACCTTTAGCGTAGGTAGGCATCGAACAGGTTAGGAATGTACTTTTGTAATGATTTTAGATGACCGCCTGCCATTTAATCAGTGGCATGATTTTGTATTGATGTTGGATGGACAACTATTTCATTTCCCTACTCGTAAATCACAGAATGCCAAAGAAATTGTTTTCAAGATAGACACACCAGTTTGTATCATCGCCAGAACAGCAATTCCTGTGGCCCAGAAGTCTTGATAACAAGGAAAGCGGGATAACGTGATTGATGACGGCCGTGCACTGGAAAATCTTCCTTTTTTATGCGCTAATTCCTCACAAAAGGCAAAAGAAGATTCCGCTATGTAGAAAGTGCTTCGCAATACGTATTGTTGGCGAGAAAAATTGCAGCGATGCGGTGCAAATAAGGAGTTTCAACGGTTAACCACGAGAATACATATCGACATTAAGAGGTCATAACAGACTAATGTTACTTTCCGTTTGCGGAAATGTGGTTAACCGTTGTAACACGAAGGAAGCAGTATTTTGTCTAGTTTGAGCTGTCGTTTTCTTTGAGAGTCAAATACCAATTCACGTTTCAATGCTCTCTTTTCATTTTCGCTGCCGACAATGGGCAAAAACAGGGTTTCACTTAACAAATGCAGTCCAAATACAAAGACATGTGCGCTCATATCACACCATTTGCATTGCACTATCATGTCACACAGGGTGTCACGAGGTGGGATTGAAAGTGATTGTTTTCGTGTACACTTGCAATGTTTGGTCTGTGTCCTTAGTTTTTTTTGAATTGGCCATAAATTAACCTTCACTTTTCTGTAGTTTCAATATTGAACTCAATGACGGCCGCTTCTCACTAACGCTCCATATTTCCGTGGCCAGCCAAAGACTATCCCCATTACATGTCAATCCTTACCCTACCCGTGATTGTTTGCGCCTTAACAATCGGATAAAGTGAAGAACGAGAACTATTCACTTTATTAAAAATATTTTCAGTACACATACCCTTGAAATTCATCAAAAGTTGTACATGTGCACGAGTTTCAGCGTCAGTTTTTAGCTTGTAAACCATATTATTGTTAATTCTGGATATCGCAGCCCTTTAATTACGTCATCACGTAATTCGAATTGGCCCTATAATTTGGTCGTGAAAAAGTCAATGTCACCCCCACCACCATTTGTGTCATTGATTCCTTTAATTTCAGTTAAAATCAGTGTCATGTACGGCTCAACTTGTGTGCAGTAGCACAATTTTGCATTCAGAAAATAAGGGACAAAAGTGTTGACACATTTCCATAAAATGGCCCTTTTTTGCATGGTGGATATACTTATCCCCTTCCCCTGTCTTGCATGGTGGATATACTTATCCCCTTCCCCTGTCTATCCCAACCCCTTCCCCTCAAAATCAATGTTGAATTTTGGACCCTCAAGTCTTTTTTTTACTTCTCAAGTCTTTTGTTTACTTCAGACAACATTGATTCCAGGGGTGAGGGGATTTACGGCGTTTATAAAGAATGAAGTAATAAATGAATTAAACGTTTGTTAAAAGCATCCGTTTTGAACAAGTACGTCAACTACTTTTGTCCCTGATTGTAGCCATGAATAACAGAAGACTCTTGATAGCAGCTGAATTTCATTTTGTACATTCAGTGGAAAAAGACAGTTAAAAATATCACAAGTTGAGACAAAACTCTGTCAGCTTCAGCTGTCAAAGTAAACAAGTCTCAAGATGCTGCATAAGTTTTCCGCATGAACTCGCCTGTCAAGTTTTGACCAATCAACACGTGACCTTGGTGAGAAAACGTCAAAAGCAACTGGCATGTCTTCCCTGCCTGTAAAAACTGGCTGAATTTTAGCTTCCTAGGTCAGTTTGAAATCAAAATTTTAATTGCGCAGCACATATAAAACACAACATAATTCATGTGAGTTAAAAAAAATTAAATTTGAGCCTGCAATCATTTGAAAACTAGTAACTTGTTAGCGGATAACTTCAAAAAGATACTCGACCTCAATGGGTCGACATGTGAGCCTGCGATACGGTCAGGTGATACTGGTCAGCAGATACCCTGTTTTGACAGCTGTCAATTGATCACAACATTGATGTGCAATATGTGTGCAATATCAGTCTTCCTGTGCTCCCAAACTAGCCAGAAAGTGGGAGATTGAACATTGGTTGCACTGTGGTGCGAACGGACAAGTGGGCGGGCGGGCAGTGTATGGTAACGTGATTACCAAATTTTCTGGGATGGGTAGATTTACTTACCCATGGTGCTCCGCAGGCGCTTTGCACGGCAGAGCTCCGCTATAAGTATCAAAGATGTTTCATGTTACTTTTTGCACTGGAGTGGTTTTCAATAAATTGAAACGTTAACTCGTTTTTCATCAAACACGACAAAGAAGATCATTGGAAACCAATGTAACAAGAACAGAAACTAGTGGAAACAGCAGACACAGAACGTAGATATGTTTTACGTTTTTGTAACTACAATCATACGACGCCAATACATAAATTACTTTTTACATGCAACTGGAAGCCACTCCTGTGCATGTTCACATTTTTTGTCCGAAAATTCTACAATTTAACTACCCTAGTAGATTTTGTGCTTATGTTAGGATATTTCTCTATATTCTTGTAGCCTCTGGTGCACAAACCACCAGATATGCCCTCGGATGTATCAAAAACGTTTGATTAATATTACCTTTTACATCAGATTGTCTTTCAAATTGAAACCTTCAGTAGTTTTACGTGTCTGTCGTTTAACACAACTGAGACGAACATCGTTAAGGACCCAACAGAAATTAGTGGAAATACCAAACGCGGTACGTGTAGGCGTTTGTGTTTTTCGTTTTTGCAAACAATCACAGACGGTGCCCAAAAAAATAGATTTGCAATTCAAAGCCACTCTAGCCCATTTTCCTATTTTTCTCAAATGCTGTTCTCATTGCATTGTTTCAAGCAAAGAAATAACTAAAATAAAGGACAATTTTTGTTATACACTGTCGTCATTTATTGTATTTACAGGCTGCTAAGTGATGGTGTCTCACAGTCACATAAGAAATTTTGTCTTACTTGTGTTGTTTAAGTGCAATAGAAATGTCTGTCAAAAACAGATAGAATGAAGAATATACGGATTGTTAAAATAGTAAAATAACGCAGTCCTTAAGTCAACACAAAAAGTTGTTGAGTCCACAAAAAAAGACGCTGAGTCCACAAAAGGTCCTCAAGTCCACTTTGCCGTAAGTTGCTAAGTCAACTCCAAGTCTCAAAGTCAACAGCATGGTCCTTAAGTCCACATTTTCGAGTCGCTGAGTCCACAAAAATAGGGTCCAAAGTCCACCATCAATCTATTCATTATCATCATCGTTATCATTATTATTTCCAGTATCATTACAGTTATCATAGCCAGCACCAGCATCTCCATCATCATCTTTATCATTATCAATTTGGCTATCTTGTGGAAGCTTTGACATAGTATTATTGCTATTGGGGACAAAAAATTGTAACTAAACTTGGTTGATCAGCACCCATTCCTCAGCCTTCATGAATTTTTGTAGTGGTGAAAAACTACGCCTTAATTATATTTTAAGGGTATGGACAAAAAGAATGCTTTCTAGAGTTGCAAAAGTTCCTGTTTCTTACCTGCTCAAAGGGTATGAGAAAGGTGAAATTAATTGGCCATGCATTCAGATCCTTACCTTTCACTGAGAAAATTAGTGCCCTTCTCCGTTCTTTCCTAGGAAAGGCATACCACCTTCTCAACCAGTACACCGTTTAAATAGAAGCTCTGGGATGGTCAGAAGCTGGAAGTTTATACTTGCCACCAGAATCTGGGAGCCTTGAGGATTCCTTTGATCAGTTCGTTCAACAGAATCAGATGAAAAACTCATGATCAGCGCTTAACAAATTCCTTGTTACGCGGGACATAAGTCCTGTTCGTTGCTCCTTAAAGACACCCTGGAATGATGCTAGTGAAAGGACAAGACGCTATTATATCAAAAAAGCCAACAAAGCTGTTGCTGCACCAATGGAAGTAATGGCACCTGGTGAAAGTGCAAAGATACTTTGGAGTACGTTGGTGAAGTCAAAGGCAATACAAAAACACTTTGCCTCTGCGTCAGTCGAGCAAGAGAGCATTGATAGTGCTCTACTGGAGTAATTAGCAAAATGCTATCATAATGCTACCCAGTGGGACACGTATTGTCAAATACCGTCCATTATGGTTGACAAAATTAGTCTTAAGTCTTTGCAACATTATATTCCAGATATCACTCCATATCGTTACAAGATTGCCAAACAGCACGCACTCTTGCATGGCAGAGGTTGTCCACTACCAAAGCCAACACAAAGGAAGATGCGCGTCCCTCCGGAGATGGTCGACCAATTCATTTCCTTCATAACCAGTTAACACATAATTCATTTGCCATTTGGGCAGAAAGAACTTACATTATCGAGTGGCAAAGTACTCATTGTGCCTAATGTTATCAGAAACATGGTACCTAACATGGTACCAAACACGGTACGCTTCTGTACGAAAATCCCTGCAAGGTTTAGACTACTTTATCGCTTCTGGGGCTAAAGCTTTTGAAGATTTGGAAGATGCAGCTGATAAGCTAGGAGATGTCAGAATGGGGATGTCATGGGCACAGCAGCAAAAGAAACAACTCAAATCAGCGAAGCAGTATCTGAAAGGCATCTTTAAGGTAACTTGAATGACAGATATTGGCTGGGGCCACATCTCGGCTACTAACTATAGTTAAGACGGGATAACTGTAGTTAGCTATATCGGTAATGTGACCGCTTTTCTGTTCGCTCTAACTATAGTTAGAAAAATTACGCCTCAGTGATCCAAAACAATACAGACTAACTATAGCTATAAGGAGGCAGGGTTCGTGGGTTACTAAAGTTTACAAACAAACAACCAATCAGAATGTGACACTTGTTTTCGCATGTGCGAGATGAGTATATATAAATATGCAAAATAAAAACCAAGCGTGAAGTGGGGGGAAACCAAAAACAACAAATCAAAAATATACGTAGGCTAATTAGAACTAACTGTTAACTGCGTGGTGTGACTGCAATGTTGACTGAAAGAACTAACTACAGTTAGGTATGACATCACGTAACTTGACACTAACTTAAGCTAAACTTTAGTTACGTCATAGATGTGACCGCAGCCATTATGTCTGAGCAAATGAAGGCTTCAATGAAAGCACTAACTGCAGTTAGGTATGACATCACACAACTTGACACTAACTTTAGTTAAACTTTAGCTAAATTGTAGATGTCACCGCAGCCATTATGTCTGAGCAAATGAAGGCTTGCATGTATATAAAGCATTTTTATGTATCTATGCTAAGGTTCATGTTTCCAAGACATCCTCTGTTACGGATCACTGCAGACGCTTCACCCTCAGTGATGCTGAAGACGAATCTACAAAGATATCTGTGATCCTGTTCATAATGGCGTATGTGATTGTTGTGATCTTGTACAGCGGAGCGTGTGTGACGTTGAGGAAGCTATGAGCCACGTCACTACAATCACAGAGGAGCTGGAGGAATTAAAGTTTACAGTGGGGCAAGCTAAAAGCAGCATATTGGCTTGGAAGGCTCACCTTCTGCGCTCAGTAAACCAGGATGAAGCTAGAGTTGACGCTGTTGAAAAACTGGGTAAAGATTCAGTTTCGCTTGTCCAAGACTGGGCAGTGAAGTACCTGCCACGTCAACACAGAGAGAGCCAGACCAATTGGTTTGCAAAGCGCAGGATCCCCTGGCACATAACCGTGGTGATACGACATGCTCCAGCCTCACATGTACTTGAGACAATGACATTTGTTCATATATTTCCAAGTTGTAGCCAAGACAGTTGCACGGTTCTTGCTGTTATGGGTGACATTCTAAAGAAACTAAAGAAGGCTATGCCAAATCTGAAAAATGTATTTTATTGTGAAGATAATGCCGGCTGTTATCATAGTGCTTCAACGATTATTGGTGCCAAAGTGCAGGTAGAGAAGGCTGGGGTCACCTTGAAAAGGTTAGATTTCTCAGACCCTCAAGAGGGCAAAGGGGCACGTGACAGGAAGGCAGCCAGTATCAAGGCCCACATGCGAATCTTCCTTAATGAAGGCCATGACATCGAGACTGCTTCCCAGATGAAGACGGCAATTGAATCTTCTGGAGGAATCCCCGGTGTAGTTGTCACCTTAGCAGACTCCTCAGCAGCAATAAGGAAAGAATTTGACTTGGGACAGTGTTAGCTTCATAAACAATGTCGAGTAGAACAGCGAAAGAATGAAGGTATGGAAGGCATACAACATAAGACCTGGTAAAGTGGTTCCTTCGAGCAAATTTAACGCATGTGTTGATGACCAGCCATCTTTGATTGCTAATCATGAAACAGAACAAAACTTGAATGCGCAATTTGTTGCTGTGAAGCCACGAAAAACTGCAGATCCTTCCAAAGTAATCGCAGCTGAGGTTGAGGAAGATGATGGAGGCTCATGCGGAACTGATGACGATTCAGGTTGTAAGTTATTTTTATGTCCAGAAGAAGGGTGCACAATGTCCTTTCAAAGGTATTCCAGTTTAGAACAACACATTCAGTGTGGTAAGCATAAAAGAGCATTGGAGCATGAAATGCTTCTCGACAGAGGAATGTTAACGTATACCTTTGCTCTTGAAAAGCCTTGGGTATCAAACATTGTAATACCGGACAAAGAGGATTTTGTGACAAGAGAGAGTTCAGATGCTCCGGTTTCTCATCAGACATGGGGTGGGCTCTTAAAAGTTCCTTCTCCCGGAACACTAGATTTAATTCCAGTAAGAATGATTACCTTATAAAGAAATTTGAAATAGGGGAAAAAACCAGAAGGAAACTCGATCCTGGAACTGATCATTGCTTGTGTATAAACTTAAGCCGCATCAACCATACGCTCAACTTCAGGACACTGAAAAAAAAAACAAACATCAAACACAACAATTTCTCAGGCTTACCAGTCGAGATGCTGCTTCTGAAGGTCATCAAGTGTTCCAGAATCGCTTGAGACTTTTCAACCCTCTTACGCCTGAAGCAAGGGCAAGTGAGTAAGCTCATTTTTGAAAACGATGCCATCCGAAATTGGATTTCCAATGACTTTGACAAGCGGTGCATTTGTCAACAAAAAGCGCAATAAACAAACCAGCCATGAATTACAGAACAATCTTGATAGCAGCTGTACTTCATTTTGTACACCAAGTAGAAAAAGCCAGTTTAAAACATCACAAGATGACACAAAACTCTGTAAGCTCCAGCTATCAGTAAGCAAGTTTCCAGACGCT